AAATAAGAGGACTGATTGTAATAGGAATATTTTTGTATGAATGGAAAAAACAGCCCTTACTTCCTACTCCCCAGGTTTTTATATCCTGGATTATGGATGAAGATTCAGTGGAGGGGAGGGATATAACTTTCTTTTGTAAATTAGGACAAGGACTACTCCGAAATGGGAGGTGGAATGGAGTGTGGGTAAGTATGGTGGCTAGTTCCCAAACGGATTCGTTTGGGGGAAGATTTCTAATAGAAGTTGAGGATCTGGAAACTTATTTCCTTAAAATGCTCCTCAGATTGATTTCCTTGCCTACTACCTCTTGGAAGGTCTGCACATACCCTTGGGAAGAATTCCTTATAAAGTCTTCATGTGCCCTGTGACTCAGCTGTACTGGCCCTGATTATACATTAATCAGGGACATCATCACAGATGTCCGAGGAAGAAGGTGGAAGACTTGGTGTTTTGGAATAAAAGAGGGTTAAGAGATAAGTCAGAGAGAATGGCCCCAAGCTGGTGTAGTCATTATAGACCTATATCAGTCCTTGGCTTTGCAGTTCTAGAAATGTGATTTTGTCCATTCACAGAAGTATTCATGTTTTGTCACACTAAATCAAACTTACAGGAAGTTAATATATAAAATGGAATGCCAGTGTGAATTTATACTCATAGTCACCAGGTAGACTGGATTTTCTCTCCTGTTGGCAAATGTATGTGGAATGATCAGTTGTTATCAGAATCTTACCTGAGGAGTATGGGTCTTGGGTATGGCTATTGTTATCAAGCTGTGATAGCCTGATGCAAGATGCAGGGCATATAACAGAAGCTCAGTAATTGAGAAATGAATGCACCTATCCTTTATAGATGCTAATAGGGAAGTTTAGGATTCTAGTAGGCCAACCCGACTTATTTTTTGATCAGGTAGATTTTGCCTTGTTTCTCTTAAATTGCTATATCATATGGATATTAAATCTGATAAAATTTCATGTCAGGGAATTACATAATTGAAACAAATTTTATCTGTCATCTCTGAGCCTAGGAATTGGGACTGTACATTTGTAACAGACTGGAGATTGAGTTCCTCTGCCCTGTGGTAGTAATGGTCGTAGTGGCTAAATGATGTTTCAGAATTCTTTTGGGTGGCTAAGAGTGTACTGCACAAAAAGAACAACCTTGGGTCACCCTCAGCGTTGGTATTTTCCTAGAGTGGGACATCTTAATTAGGGAGTCTGTGACCTGGCTAGATTTGGGAACTGTTCTCTAGTGAGGAAAAATGATACCCTAAACTCCCTTTACTCCCTAGATCCCCCTTAGGGGATAATTCTTGATACTGTCTTTAAAAATAGAGAGACAGGGACACCTGGGTGGCTCAGTCCATTGAGCCACTGCCTTCTGCTCGGGTCATGATCCCAGAGTCCTGGGATCAAGTCCCGAATAGGGATCCTTGCTCAGTGGGGAGCCTGCTTCTCTCTCTGCCTCTGCCTGCCACTCTGCCTGCTTGTGCGCTCACTTGCTCTCTCTCTCTCTCTGACAAATAAATAAAATCTTAAAAATAGAGAGACAAGCCTTTTCAAATTCCAAAATCATTACAAATAAGATGGATAAATGAAAAATTTTTGTAAGTCCTATCTGGAAGCCAGAAGACACTTTGTTTTCTCAAAGTTTTTTCCAGCTCTAGAATAAACTATTGAGACAGAGGAATAGATGCCAGGCCAGGGAGTTTCATTTAGTATTTTAATAATAATAATAAAAAAAGACAATACAAAATCCAAACATTTCTTTTTACAGGTTCAGATAGTTTTTTTTTCCCCAAGTGCAAAATACTCTATGAACTGCATCATTTACTGTTTATTGTTGATTGTGTAGGAGACACTATATTGGCAGCAGTGGAAGACAGATATAAATACAACATTTTGAGATTCTTTTTCTGCATTAAAAAAAAGCCTCCCCCCATGGTAATGATTATTCTCTGAAACTTCAGTTAACTCACACAGAAGAATAGATTTTTCAGTTTATCCAAACTGCTACAATGTTGTCTAGATAAGCTGATAACAGAACTGGAGGTTCTATTCTCTCTAATCATATATTTTCTTAAAGGGTTCCTAGTCAAAATAATGGCCCAAGGACAGGGTGTGCTATCTTTGAGAGAGGTCCGATTTAAAGATAGCCTTGTGTTGTTTGCTTCCACTTTTGTGCTTTAGAAAGAAGCCAAGCAGGTTAACATTATTTTCTGCTTATGGTCATTTATGTTTTGTCTCCCTCCCCCTAGTTTGAGCCTGTTACATTGAGATTATGCAGCAAATAACAGAAGTTTGAATGCTCTATAATGTTTTCTGACATTTTGAGGTATGACCTACCAATCCACTACAGAGTCCCCTCAAACATGCCTATGGAGAACACTTCTCAGATACAAAAAACTTCCTTAGGGCTGGAGACCAGAGCTGTATTCCTGACCTTGGAGCAACACATCTGAGCCTCCATTACCTCAAACTAACCAGTCCTCAGGAAGTCACAGCAGTCACAGCTCAGTGTCTGCCCTTTGGAACTTATAGACCTGGGGTAGGGCAGCTCAAGTCCAGGATCTGGTCAGTTCTGACTGAGTGTTCACCTGAGGGAATGGACCTGGCCTAATAATACAGAAAGAGGGAGGCAGAGAAGTAAAACTGGATTGCCATGTTGCTGAGGGTTTAAGTGCCTTTCTGATGTGCATCACTTGGCGCTCACAGTCTTTACAGAAATGGCTTCCCATTCCCAGACTCAGATCAGGGCAGGTTTTGTACCAAGATAAATGAAGCCTCACAGTACTGTGGCCCTGTGAACACCCCCATCCTGCAGAGACGCCTCGGGACTTGTTCATGAAGCATTTCCATTTACTCTGTCTACTTACTTCCTTACACTGGTAAAAACCTTTTTTTCTGTCTGGCCTGTAAAGGCCTAGAGAGTCCCTGAGTATTGACTCCTCATTCAGTCCACTTAACCCCTGGTTTTATGTCCCAGGACTGGCTTCCTCCATAGGTTCAGCAGTAGCTTTGTCTGGATTGTTAACCCCCAGCTTGCATGACCTAAACTAAACTTGGTGGACATTAGCAGTTCTTTACCTGCTCACCAAGATCTGTCTTAACATCAGTTAAGAAGCCTAGTGGTCTACACTTTCTATCCGTGGAAATCATTTGCGGTTTCCAGAAATCATGGAATAAGTTATTGAAGGAAATATGTTTATGGGGTGATGGGAAAGGAGGAGAGCAAGGAGAAGCCAGACCCTGAAGGCATAAATTGGGAAGTACTCTGCTTAGCTTTCTAAGAGAGATGCAATGGTAGGGAGAGAATCAGAAAGTTGGTGGAGAATTAGGATGATCAGAGTGGATTAAAGCAGTTTTCAGGCATTTTTCTGGGAAGTGTGGCTACTTCTATTAAATGACCATTTTCTTGTATGGAAGCAGCCATTTTGTATCTTTATAGCAGGGCCCTCTTTGACTCAGAGACAAAGCCAGATACTCTACTGCCAAGGGCTGGGGTGTTGGCTAAAGGCAGTGGGGGAGTTAGCTTTGACTTTGGCTGCCTACTGCCTAAGGCTATCTTTGGTGGGTGAATGCTAATGATTAGGGAGTGAGGAGATGGTGCAAGCTTCTTTATTTAGTGTCAGCTCTCTTGGGGAAGCAGTAACCTGGAACAGTCACTTAGAAATGAAACCTAGAAGTTAATTGGTAGCCTTCGATTGAATAAACTACAGCTTTGGGGGAAGTAAAAGGAGCAAATGGAAAATACATTTATAGGCAGTAGTGGAATGAGGGTAGAATGTGTGCGAGATGTGGTCTTGGGCATGGACTTGATTCTTCCTTTTGAAAAGCAGTAGTGGAGGAAGCTAAGCTTGAAGTCAACTCCCAGAGGGGATGGCAAATAGGTAAGGGTAAGCAGAGTGGCCAAGGTCAGGCAAACTTCATGCTTTGATAACTGTCTTATTCTTGGTTCCTTTAGCCTTGTTTGTGACCTCAGGCCCCTGAGTCAGCTCATTCCCAGGGGGTTTGTCCTGATCCTCTTCCATGTGTGCACCAGGGGTAAACAGGATGAAGGCAGGGAAAAGATGGAGGCTTTCCCTATTTGGGTGTGGAGAATCACTGACCAATTCCATCGGCCTCTACAATCATGAGGTCCATGTTGAATCCATAGAGAGGCATAGGGATGGCAGGATTGGATTAGCAAACACAGGTCTCTCTCCTTCCTGCTCCATCAAGTCCCCAGAATTACTCTCCTACACATCAGGTGCCTCTGAACTAAGGTTTGGGTTCCCCCATCTGAAGGCTCCAGAAGTCTGGATGGCTACTGGTGGGGGAGCAGAGACAGATCAGATGCTCCAGCACTCAAGGTTCATGAGATCCAAAGCCTTTTTCCTTCCACTTCAAACATACACTCTTTTCTCTTGGGCAGCTATAAATAGGTTTGTTCTAATAGAGGAAAAAACCAAAAAAAAAACAAAACAAAACCAGAAAACAAAAACCCTCCCTCTAGACAACATAGGAAGACTCAAAATGATTGCACTTATTAGATGTGGACAGGGTGGGCAGAAGGGTCGCCAAGTGTGCACACATTCCTCTTGCTGCCCACAGCCTGGGGCCAGAGGTAGGTGGCTCTGGGCTGGCAGCAGAGCAGGGTCCTCTTTGGTGGAGTCCACAAGCCATCTGGGGCTACAAGGGAAAGACAACTCGGGGACAAGGCCCAGGCTGGCTTCTGGTCAGCAGCCATGTTTCTTTAAGGACAACACTTAGCAAGGGGAGTAGGGCTCCCCCAGGGAGCGCTCAGGTAGGGGTGAGGAGATGGCTGGGCCAGGATGACAAGTAAGAAAAGGGATTGGTGTTTGAGGCTGGTTTCTAATTGTTCTGGAGTCTAGTCCTTTAGATGATAGGTTTTCTTTCTTTCTTTTTTCTTCCTTTTTTTTTTCCTTTTTCTTTCTTTCTTTCTTTTTTTTTTTTTTTTCTTTTTTTTTTTTTTTCTTTTTTTTCTTTTTTTTTTTTTTTTTTGTGATGCTTTAAAACCTGGTTTCTGTCCTGCAGAGCTATAGTCTTTCTGTTGGGGAGTGACAGCAGCACATTCAACATGGTAATGCCTGCTGCTTTTCCTCATTCAACTGGTGTCCACTAACCCAGTGGTATGGGCCTTTTGTAAGCCCTCATGAATTGGACCCCAAGCAGACATGTGGGGGAAGAAGGAAAGAAGCTGTATTGACAAGAAAGCCAGCTGTGTGGACAGTCTAGGGCTCGAACCACGTACCCCAGAGGACCAGTGCTGGCATTAGGCCTGTAAGTCAGAGACTTCTTTGGCAGACCCTGGGTTGTTAAAATCACCCTGGGGGGCACAGCCAGGGGACATTTTGGCTCCTGACTAGCAAGGCACAACCCTATAAGGGCAGAAGCCCTTTTTCCCCCTACCCCATTCCCCACTAGACCCACTTCCTTCATGGGCCTCTAGCACCCCTCCAGGCTGATGAGGCCATAGATATGAGCTGGTGAAATGGTCAGTGTGGCTGGGAAGGGGAAGGGGACACTGTTCTTTCACCCCTCAGGGGCAATAGAGCCAGCACTTAATGGCTTTTCCAGGGAGCGTGTAGAAAAGGGACCACAGTAAAAAGAGAGAGGGAGAAAGACAGAGGCAGAGAGAGACAGAAAAGGAAGCTGGAGAGACAGAAAGGAAGAGTGCTTGGTCTATAGTGATTTTTTTTTCCTCCAAAAAGAAAGAGAGGAGAGAGTTCCTCATCTGGGGGTGGGGGCTGCCGGCTCTGAAGGCTAAGGAGTCTGGGGGCTTTAAAACCTGGGTCTTGGGCTTAGGGGCACTATTTGTAGGGCCTCAGGAAACTGGAAACTTTGGAGCGGAGTAGCTTGATGAAGGATTTTGGCAGCATCTCCTTGTGCTTCTCTGTGTACTTGAAGTAGTTCTGGGGGTGGGCCAGCACCTCAAAGAAGGCCTTGATGAGCTTCTTATCCTGCAGAGGATGGCAGGCGGCAATGTCAGCCTCAGCATTGGGGGTGGGAAAGAGGGACACCAGCCTCAATTCAGAAGCAGCCCCTCTTGATGTTGAATAGGCATGCCCAGAGGTGAACTCTGGATTTCCATCCCCACCATCTGTTCTTCTTTCAGAATCCTACAACTCCGTCACTGGCAGCTCCATCCTTCCATTGCTCACACCCCAGTCCTTGGAGTCATCCTTGACTCCTCTCTCCCGCCCACAACCACAGCAAATCCTGTTGATTCTACCTTCGAAATATATCTGGGGTCTGACCATTTCCCACAGCCTCCACAGCTACCACCCTGTCCAGGCCACCACCATCTGTCACTTGGACAACTTGCAGTAGCCTTCTACCCTGCTTCCCTACATCCGCCTGTCCTCGTCCCTCTACAGACTTTTCTCCCCCACTGCAGCCAGAGTGACTTTTTCAGTTTTTAATTAGATCATGTCCTTTTTCTATTCAAAACACTTCTCTGGTTTCTTTTTTTACTCAGTAAAGCCCAGTGTCTTTGCATGGCCCACAGGCTAAACATGATCTGTACCCTGTTCTCTGTCCTCCAGTCCCCCTTGACTTTCTTACTCTGCTGAGTTCCCCTGGCCATCTCAGGGTTCTCAAATATGCCACACCACCCCATGCTTCTTGGCTTGAAATGCTCCTTTCCTGATTTTCTAATGGGCAGCCCTTTACTTCACTCAGGTCTCTTCTCAGAGGCCTTTCCTAACCATTCTGTCTTAAACAGCAACATGGTGTGTGGAGAGCCTACCAGGTGCCAGGCACTGTGCACAAAGACTCAGGTCTTCTGGCTTCTAGGCTAGTACGCATCCTATGGCATCAGCAGATTTTTAAAATAAGAGGCAGGGCCTCCAGCCCCTGATCCCCACTACTTTATGCATTGGAGTTCCACAGCACATCTGAAATAAGGGTTCAGATGTTTTAAAACATGTTCAGAAAGCACTGCTGAAATGATTTTCTTTGTAGTCTGCAAGTTCTAGGAGATTTTTGTCATTGTGTCTCTTACTTTGACAATAATGCAAAAATGACTTTAGTAATCATAAAGGTAAAATTTGTCCTTGCATTGGTAATTTATGAAGGATAATACTGTGGCTAGGATTGTAGCTTGCCATGTAAGGCTTTCTCAAACTGGGATCCACAGACCCAGGGGAGTCTAGTTCATTCTTTAACGTAGGTAACATTTCTTTTCCTTTAAAACAGGTTTTAGCTGAATTAACTCTGAGGAACGCTGTGCTAGATCTGCTCCTTTTCTGTGGAAACTGAGGAGGGAGGCAGGGAAGGGAGGGACCTAATGCAGAAGCATCTTTTTATACCTCACTTCCTCCCTATTTTTTGGTACAAGCGGTCAGGGACATTTCATCTCCTCCTCTTCCCTACCTCTTCCCCCGCAGTGTGAGGTAGTGTGAGGGACCCTGCAGTCAGATGGGCTTGGACACACTGGGCAAGCTCTGTAACCCTGTGCCTCAGTTTTCTTATGGGTAAAGTGGGAATGATGAAAGTACCTATTTCATAGAGCTCTTATGTATATCAAGTGAGAATACTCCTGTAAGCCCTCAGCCCACTGCCTGCACATTGCTACATGCTCATTAAAGGCTGGCTCTTCTTATTTCTGTGCACATTCACTTGCCTTTAAAATCTCCTGGTGGTTTTCAGATGCATAGAGCCGGCCGTCTCGAACAATGTCTTCTACTAGCTGCTCATAGTCCTCTGCAAAATCAACCACGGGGAATAGTTTACAGGTAGAAACTCTTCCTGCTCTCCCTGCTCCCTCCTAAGACTCATGAGCCTCGCCTTTCTCACCCACCTCCCTGGCATTCCTGCCCTTGCTCACCATCATAGGTAACATAGGGGATCTGGAAGCCACGAGCACTGTTGGCCTCGCTTGTCTTAAAGTTGATCCAGAGCTTCCTGGACCGGGCTGTGAAGGCAATGGGCCGCTCGTAGGTCTGGCAGGTCTCATAGGTGGTAATGGAGGATGGTGAGGCTGGGAAGGCAAGCAGCAGGTCAGGAGAATAGCAGGGCAGGTTACCCAAGCCCTCGTGCAGGAGGGTGGTGGGGGCAAGGAGGGGACAGAGGGGGACAAGGGGACAGAGGCTCTCCCCCGTGCATGCACCTTCCCCACCCCAACACACACAGATCCTCTCCCACTGCCCTCTGCTTGTTCCACAACTCCTCCTTGATGTCCAGGCACTCACAGAGTGTAAAAAATTTGACATTTAAATGAATGGAACAGCAAAAATGCTAGAACAGGAAAGTGACAGGCATAACACTATTGGAGTTCTAATCCCAATGCTGGCTTTCTTACTTCTGCTCTCCCCCAAACATAGAGCTTTCCGTTGTTAGCCTCTCTCCTCCCAAGGCCTCCCTTCTCACTGCCCCAATTCTTCCTGTCCCCATCTTCTCTCTCTCTCTCTCCCTCCCAACCAGATTTGAACTGCCCTTCCCTGGCCCAGCTCTGCAGCCACCCACAGTTCTTTCTCATGACGAGGACGTCCCCACACTCATCCTCAGATGGCAGGAAGATCTCGGGTACCACGATAAGGATCTTGCGCTTGGGTGGGGGGTTGATGTTCCAGATGCACTCCACGCCAGCTGGGTAGTTGCCTGGGTAGTTGGGGGACTCGATATAGCCAGTGAACTCACCCAGCTCCCCACCACACTGGCGATCTGTATCCAAACCCGGGTGTAAGAAAGAGAAGGGAAGTCAGTGGAGAAATGGGTTAGGATGTTGAAACGTTTTGAAGTGAAAATCAGACATGTGTAGGCAGTTGCCTTCCTGGTTCATCGTCTCTTCTCCAAGTTCTGGGTCCACCTTCCCTTCCCCGCTCTTAGAACTTTCTCATCTCACTTCACCTCTCTGTCTCCCCATTACCTGTGTCCAGGGAGAGGGTGCCACAGGGCCCAGCCCAGCGACTGGTATTGGGATGGAGTGGGTTGGGAGAGATGGAGCGTGGGACTTTCCTGCCCACCCACTCCCTAGCCTTTCTCCCTATGGGTTTACTTATCCCACTCCCAACCTCTTCCCATGGCCATCGTTCCCAGGCCTCTCTACCCCCTTTTCCATCATCTGGCCTGCCACGTACTCTTGCACTGGGCCACACTGGTGGAGCCGTCAAAGTCAGTGCTTGTGTTTCCTGGACAGCGGGTACAGAAGTTCTGACGGAAGTCGGGCTGATAGGAGCCCATGGCACAGCGGATACAGCGATGGATGCTGGTGTTGTAGTAGTGACCGGGGGAGCACTGAACTGCAGGCAAGGGGGAAGGAAAGACAGGAGTTAAGATGGCAGGCAAGTGGGAATTCAGGGACATGGGATGAGCAGGACGCATTCATTGTGGAGAAGCAGGAGACTGAAGACACCAAAGTCCCTTCCAGGGTCCCAGCCTTTTCTAGTCATGCCAGAATTTAAGCCTAGGGAAAAACAGACTTGACAGACTAGTCAGCTACTGTGCCAGTCCTTTTCTTTCAGGCACTGAACATCGTGCCAAACGCACAGAAACTCATTTGTAGTATTGAGGGGAATGTGCTACCAGTTCTCCAAAGCAGAGGAGTAAATGGGATTGTTTTTTATTCCCTAATTCCTAGACTTGGGACCAGTGAGGGTCAGGATGCGTCCTCTGAGCAGGATGGTATGGCTGATCGAGTAGCTGGGCCCTTCCCAGGCTGGGGAAGGAGGTGGGGCAACACACTTAGGTTGACTCTGAGGACTTGGAGAGTTTTTTGGAAGCAGTTCAAGTTGGGGAGTGTCCAAGTGACTAGCCCATTCACCTTTGGTGTCACAGTCTTGGAAGGAGATGGCCCCCTCATGCTTGGTGGTGAGGCCCCCACCACATGGGAAGCACAAGGTCCGTCCTGCTTCAGGTTGGTAGGTGCCGCGTGGACATGGCTGGCAGGGCTTGAACCCGTCTACGGAGTATTGGCCAGGCAAGCACTGACCTGCAATGAATCAAGGGCCCAGCTCTGATGGGGATGGTTCTGGTCATCCCCATAGGATTACCCAGTCTCAGGGGACAGAGGCACACAAACAGGACGCTAACGAGGAGAGTGGTCTGGAGCCTGGGCCTGCCCTTAGGAGATCCCATGCCCGTGGGCGTCCCAGTGCCCACCCTACCCCGCTCTGTATTGTTTGTTCCCCTGGCACCTGCACACGTGGTGGCGTTGGTGGCTCCGAGAGGCCCGTGGGCATCACTCCCAGGGCAAAGGTCGCAGGAGAGCTGCCCTTCTCTCTCCTGGAAGGTGCCCGCTGGGCATGGCACACACTGCTCCGTCTGGCCGTGGTAATACGTTCCCTGCGGGCAGCTGACTGAGGGAGAGTCGGCCGCGCTAGCCACCCCCCCCCCCCCCCCCTTCCCCCCCCCCCCGGGCCGGGGATCCCCCCCCCCCCCCCCCCCCCCAATTCAAGGAGCTTGGCTCTTTGTCTGGGAAGAGACAGAATCTTGCTTGGGAAGATCAGGGGCCAAAGCCACATACAGGAGGGTTGGTGACCCCTCTAGACCTGATACCCCCTAGATTTCAGCCTGGGACTAGGGAGAGGAGGATGATAGGCAGGAGGGTTTTGGCTGCCTCACAATCTGAGGTACAACTGAGGCCTTAAAGTGTCTTGCTCTGAGGCAGGCCCAAGTTGGGCCTTCCCCACTCCCCTGCTTCCCTTTTCCCCAGCAAGCTCCCTTACCACACTTAGCCCCGGTGCGGTGCTGCCCAGGCCTACAGGCCTCCACCAGCTCTGCTCGCTCCCCAGTTCCTGAGCCTGGCTTGTGCGCCAGTTCGTAATCAAGGCCTGCCAGGCGCAGCAGGAAGCGGTCCTGGTTGATGGACTTCCTAAGCATCTTCAGGGACCCTTTCAGCCGCCGTTCCATTCGCTGTCGGAGGCAGGGGAGTCCACAGGCAGCTGGTGGTAGATGATGGTGTGGGTCAGGGAAGGCAGAGAAAATGGCTGTGAGCAGGAGCGCAGGGAGCAAAGCTAGGAGCTAGGAGGGGCATGGTAAGAAACTGGCTCCTGGGCTTGGTGTTAGGCGGGGTCTGCCCTTGGTATAGGCACTGTCCCTTCCTTTCGCTGCTGAGACCCATGGTTTCCCCACCTCTGACCCCTTGCCTTCCACCCTCCTCCCAGCAGTGCCCCCAGTCCCACCTGTGGTTTCTTCGGCTCTGACCTCTGCCTCCAGTTCCAGGGTGAGCCGAGTGACTTCCTTGCCTGGAGGGGTCCGGGCCCGCCGGCCCTTGCCCTTCCGAGAGGAGTCACACTTGAGGTGGATGAAGGTGACCTGGCAGTCAGAGCAGGGGGCACCACCTGGGGAAGAGGACTTGTCAACCCCAGGGTCAGAAAAAGTACTTGCTCCCAGCTCTCACTGTTCCACCCCAACCCAGACAGACCTCACCAGACCTCTGCAACTATTTCAGTTTGCTTTTAATGTAGGATACCAATTATTTGAATGGAGATATCCCAGGACTTCCTTGGGCCCTATGCCTACAAAGCCTCTTCCCCTGCTCTGTCCAGAGTTCAGGATGCCAGTCGGTTTTTTATCTCGCTAAGCAGAGGAGCTGAGGGGTGGGAAGGATGTGGTGGCCAGACAACCCGTTGGGGTGGGAGTCCCAGTCCAGACCTTGCCCCAGGATCCTGCTGGCCTCCTCCATTTTGCCTTTGTTTCGCAGATGCAGACGGCACTTGGCGTCCTTGATCTTGAAGGAGGCCCGCTGTTTAACCGACAGCACTGCAGCCTCTAGAGGGATGGTAGAAGCTCAGCACAGCCTGGGGACCCCGTGGGGGTGGGAACTGCTGTGGAGGGTATCGAGAAGCTGGGCAATAAGCCAGGGGCTTGGCTGGAGAAGGATTATGAAAGCTGGGGAATCAGATGTTAGGGGCAGAGGGAGTGAGGCAGAAGGGCTGAAGAATGACAGAGCAAGGGAGGGAACCCAAGAAAAAGTAAGACCAGGAGAATTAATGAAGAGAAACGGGTTACTAAGTAAGAGAGTAAGGTGGGAACAAGGCCTCTGGGCGGGTGCTCACCATGGCAGTGGTTGGAGTTTGTGCTGTTCCCGGTGGGGCCAGCTCGGGCTGGAGTGGCCCTTGGGCTGGGGGTGCCACAGCTCACCGTGAAGCCATTCTCAGACTCTGAGAGAAGGGGGCTGTCACAGCTCTGACCTGCCCCCCACCCCCAACACCTACTGGTTGGAGTAATGCAAGGGAAGCAGAAGAGCTCCCTGCACTTTCCTCCCTGCCAGCCTCATGTACCTGGCAAAAACCGGGCCCGGGAGGGGCAGGTCAGGGCACAGGTGTCCTTCTTGCCAGACCGGTTGCAGCTGAGCATGGCTTTCGAGGCACCAGAACTGCTTTGACATTTTACCGGCTCTAGGAAGGGGAGAGAGACCTGAGGAGGAGAGGGCCTTCCTCTCCCACCCTCCTCCACGATTTGCTAATTTGGAGGAAGAGAATTAGCTACCTGCAGAACTGTGACTGTAAACAGAGACCAATGAGGGGATTCTTTACCAGAAACTTCATGTCTCTAACTCAAATGACTACATTCTCCTCCCCTACGGCCTCACAGCTTCTTCAGCGTGGAAGGACCCCACTTCCAAGACCCCAATTTCCAACCTCGCCAGAGTGCAGTGCCAGCTCTGGCCAGCAGAGGGTGTTGCCCACCTGTGCAATCTTTGCCGTTCCAGTGCAGCCGGCCCTGGCCACTGGGACAGGTACACTGGTAGCTGCCAGGAGTGTTGATGCAGCCGAAGCGGCAACCTCCGCGGTTGACGCTGCACTCATCCACATCTGGGGGAAGGAGTAGGGAGACACCAACAATGGCAGGGCGGAGCAGAAGCCACAGAGCGGGCAGTGAGTGAGGACCTCTGCTTAGAGTTCCAGGCAGGACCTCGCTCCCTTATCTCTGCCCCCAAAGAACGACTGACTGGGAAGGGGCCCAGATGACAAGCTTTTTAAAGCCTTCCACTCCTTCATACCACTGGAGCTGGAATTTGGAAGTTGAGGATGGGAGTCAAGAAGCAGCAACGGGTAGGAGATAGAAATTATGGAGGCAGAATGCTGTTCCTTGATATTGTCTCCTAGTTATGTCTTAATTTCTCCCAGGTCATACAATGGACACAGACATGGCACATGCCCCTGGGAACTGCCCAGAGCCACACACCAACTCAGGAACTTGTTTAGCAAAAGGGTATGGAGGTGAGAGGGGCCCCGGTGGTGGAGGGTCTGAATTTGCTGGCTTACCCCCACAGTGGGTGACACCATATAGCAGGTAGCCATGATGGCAGAGGCACTGGAAACTTCCCGGTGTGTTGACGCATATGTGGTCACAGGTTCGATCAAAAGAACACTCGTCTATATCTGGAAGAACAGGGATGCAAGCCACTGAATCTGTCTTGGGGTACTTGACCTTGGGACCCTTTGGTCAGGTGGAGGACCCACTTGAGGGGCCTTGACCCTCCCTCATGGCCCAGCCCTAGGATCAGCGATTTAGCAGTGCCTACCCATCCCCTGTCCCCCCTCCACTCAGAGTCAGGAACTGTGAGATCTGGTGCCCATGGATCAGGGCCGCCATATGTGGTTAGGCAGGTCAGATCCTGCCAAGGATTTGAATTAGGGAGAAATCCATTCCTCCTCCTTGCCAAGAGCAAGGCAGAGCTGGTCTGTCAAGAGGAAGGGGTACATTTGCTAATTTCAGCATGACACTGCTTATGGAAACTCTCCACTGTATCCACTGACTTTCTCAGACTCTGGCACTCTGGCCTCCTTGAAGCTCTCCTACCCGTAGAAACCTCTCCCAAGGCTTTCCCCTTGGCCCATGTCTGCTCACCCTGGCAGTTCCTCTCATTGATGAGAAGCTTATAGCCCTTCTTGCAGCTGCATTCAAAGCTGCCCACTGTGTTGCGGCAAATGTGGTCACAGCCCCCATTGTTCAAGCGGCACTCGTCTATGTCTGGGGAAGCAGGACAAAGTAGAGAGAACCAAAGGTGATACCAAAGCCTGGGGACAACAAATAAGGAGATGACCTCCCTCCCTCCCTCACAGAGACAGAGAAAATCAAGCAGAGCCCTGGGCCTGCCATTCTGACTCCTCTCTCACTCTCTAGTCTCTGTTTCTTCCCTGTTCATGGGACCTGTGGTCATTAGGAACACCTTTCCTGAGACTGAACCCTGGTAGAAAGGGGCAGATGGGAAGCAGAGTCAGGCCCACAGGGAATTGCCTGGAGTAGGAAGTAGGTAGGCATTTGAATCAGGGGGCTAGTTTCTGCCCTTCATTCTGCGATGACAGCCCTTTGCCAAAAGGCTGGTGAATAAGGTTTATCCCTTGATGTCCCCTACCCCTCCTGACCTGAGAGCCCTAGGTGATGGTGTGGGGGCTGGCACAGAGAGGTGGAGATTCAAAGGGGCAGCCCCTCAGAGAGGAGGAGCTAGGAGAGAGTCAGGCACGGGACCTCCAGGAGAGCCAGTGAGGCTGGGTAGCTGCTGGGGGAGGGGTAGGGGCCAGGCCAGGGGCTGGATTGGGAGAGGTCTGGAGAGGCTCAGGCCTGAGGTGGCTTTCAGCACTAGGAAGGGAAGGGGGGCCCCGTGAGCAGCTTCCTTCCTGAGGTCAAGTTCCCCAAGCTGGTGGCAGACAGGACCCAGGCTACTCACCCCTACTTGGGGGAGGGGGCAGAGAGGGCAGTCTTCCACTTTACTCTCAGCATACCTGTCAACAGTTCTTCCCAGCAGGAAACCTCTCAACTCTGGCTGTCTGACCTGCTGCCCCAGCCCTCCCTGTCTCCCCATCCTCTCTGCCAGCTGCTGGGCCAAAAGACACAAAGAAGGAGCCCAGTCCTCTTTCCAGTCCTCCTTGTGACCAGGGTACACAGACCTGATGAATCATTATTTTCAGTAGGGCTACCCTCCCTTTTTCCTCCCCCACTCCACCGTTCTCCCAGACCGGGCTTAATAAAAGGAAGGAGAACAGGATGGGCAATGTGGGAAATTATACCATAGTAATAGTTAACACAAGACACTTACCATTTGTCAGGTACTATTCTAAGTACTTGATATATAATTTATATTTAACTGATCTAATCCTTACGACAAGCACCATTATTGTAGTGGAACTGAAGCACAGATACTAAGTAACTTGCCCAGGATTGCAGAGCTGGTGTCTGAACCTGGGTAGCCAGGCTCCAGCATCAGCACTCCCAACTGCCACCCTCTTCTCTCTCTGACCAGTGTAGCCTTTCCACTTGGAAAGGTCTGGGGAATGTGGGTTAAGAAGGTTATGGAACACATCTGTGACCTTGTACACACACAGTCAGGGCTCAAATATCCTTCTAGACCCAGGGACAAATGAGAATGGCATGTTCATTAAGCAAGAGGGTTAGGGACCCGTAGGGGGATAGGAATGAGAGTAAGGAAAACAATGTTGGGTTGGGGCAGGGAGCAGTGCTGGCCAGACTTTTATGCCCCTTGAGCTGAGGTGGGAAAGGCGGACAAGAGACAAGCCTTAGCCATACCCTCAGTTCTTTATAATCAGGACAGCCTTGAGGAGCTCCTGTAATAGGTACTGTATCTCTTGTCCCAAACTCAGCCCCTTGCTCCAATGCTCCTGTCCTCTGAGAGACCTTACCTTTGCAGGTCTTCCTGTCTGGCTGCAGCATGAAGCCCACGGGGCAGCTGCAGTGGACGCCTGTGGCTGCATCGTGGCACTTACTGTCACAGCCCCCATTGTTGACAGCACAGGTCTCTGTTTAGGAGGGAGGTGGGGGGTGGTAATTGGGTTACTGGCTTGGAGGAGTCCCAAACTCGAGGCAAGTAGAGAGCACAGAGGCATGAGGGAAGGCTTCAGTTGCCTCCCTGTGCTTTCGAAGGAGCATTCAGTGGAGGCTCCCAGCCCCCTTCCTCCCACCGCTCCCAGCCCCCATCCCCTCACAAGTGCAGCCAAGCAGTCCGCTTCCCTGCCCCCTACTTGATTGAAACAAGGTGGACAGCAGTGAGGCAGGTACAAGCCAGAGCTGTCAGGCAGGAATGTGCTGAGGGGGTGGAGGAGGTGGAGCGGGGAGGGTGCAGGGAGCGATGGGAGCTAAGGAAGGGTGGTTCTCGGCTGCCAGGGAACAAGAAGGGACAGATAGGGGTCTTCTCCTTTTTTCCACCGACTATCTCTCTGGTGTCAGGGTGGGGTAGTCTTGGGAAGAGTGAGCCTGAGGATCCCTAAGACAGCCGAGGGATGGCCACCAATTCATCTTTCTCTTCCTCCTTGCTCAGCTGTCTTTAAAAAAGATCCCAGTTCCAGGCCTGACCGCTCATCCTCAGAGGAGAGGCACATACTTGGTCATTTCCCAGCCCCTCCCAGCTACCTCCAACTCCTCCTAAGCCCTCCTTTTAGTTCCAGATGGAGATAACTGGCTGTTCCGTTTTTGTTTTCCTTTCTAATGAGGAGAGACTGCCTAGGTGAAAGAGGGGGACAAAAGGAGAAGAATCCAGAGGACAAGGCAGGGAATAAGAAGGTAGATGAGAGCCAGAGAACCTCAAAGCTAAGTCACTTCTATTGCCCCCTCTTGAATGGTAAATTCTCTCTTTGCTGTGGGGGTCATAATAGGGGGAGTATGGATGGGTCACTCTCCCTATTTCCTGAATTCAGAGCAGGACATAAACAAGTTTAAACTGCAGCTCAGGAGAGTCAGGTAAACTCAGGGGAAAACCATCAGTTCAAATAGCACAAGGCCCCGACGCAGGGACTCTGGAGGAGGCACGGGCCATCCTCTGAGGAGGCCCTAGATCTCTCCCTTTGGAGAGACAAAATCCCAAGCTCTCTGCTAGGGAAGAAAAGAGAGTGGTTCTCTGAATCAAGGGAACTGAATGAGAAAAGCAGCAGAGAATACTATCATCTTCTTAAATCTTTCAGTCCTAAAACCCAGGCCTTGTCACCAAGGAGACCACCAATGCAAGGGTTCTAGAAGAAGCCCAACTCTGCCTGTTGGTCCCCAGTCATGCCCCGTTTGCTCAAATGCACAGGTTGGGAGTAGCCACAGTGGGATCTCCTGTGGTGGCCATTCCCACCCTGGTCTCCTGTGGTTCCCCAAGACCATGGGAGGAACCTGGGAAGGAAACTTGAATTCAGTCTCCAAGCCTAGTCATTCCCCCAAGACTGCTCTTAGCATAAGAAGAGGTCCCCCAAGCCCTAGAGCAGGGAGAGAGGAACAGAGATCCTGTGCCAAGACTGGGTGGGTTCGGAGGGACTCAGGGTTGGGAGCTGCAGAGCTGACACAATGTCCATCCAGGTCAGACCAGGGAGCTGGGCATAGCTGCCCTCCCCCACAGGGCGGTGTTCACCAGGCCAGGGTTGGGACAGCTCTTCAGGTCGTGGTATTAAACCACAGTTTAATCCGTACTTGCTCTGTGCCAGGCACTTAGACGCTCTGCACACATGGTCTCAGTTTTCTCAGCAACCCAAAGGGAGAACTCTTGTCTCCCTGTCTACAGAAGAGTTAAATGAGGATCAGAAAAGAAAGTAGCTTCCTGGAGGTTGTATAGTTAGAAAGTGGCAGGGGCAGGATTCAAACCCAGGTCAGTCTGAATTCAGATGTCATGCTGGTACCCGTTATGGTGGGACAGAATGGTGAGTGGCACTGGGACTGTGAGCTGGTGTGGGTAAGAACCCAAGGACACGGCCCCAAGGAGGGGATGGCCTCGAACTCTATCCCACCCCTGTCTCAGCCACCTAATGGGCACAACGGGTGAGCTGGAGCTGCTGGGTCTTTTGCTGTGTGGAAGGCAGAGAGAGGGAAGGGGCAGATGGTTGGAAAGGGGTGAGGTGTTAGAAGGTGGGAGAGGGAGAAGGAGAAGGTGGCAGGAGGAAGCAGGAGAGGAGAGGGACAGGAACAAAGAAAGACAAAAACAACATGAAGGCTCCTGGGCCAGCTCTTGGGGACTCAGGTGTCCTGTCACCCCATGGGCCCAGTACCCAGGCTGCAGGGGAGCCCTGCTGGTAGGCTGGAGTCCAGTCAGGCTGGGCCCAGTGGGCATGCAGTTAGTGGGAGCCCCAGCGGGTTAGCCCTTCCCCTAGCAAGCCAGTGAGAGCAAGCGGAGAGAGCAGACATATTTACCATTAGAAACGGCCTGAGGGGGGATGTGCTGCTCTAGCCGCCTTTCCCCTGTTTGACAGTGTAAAAAAGCTGTTTAGATGCTGGGCAACAGCCACTGGGGCCCACTGGGCCCCTGCCCCCTTCCCACCCTCCTCCACCCCTGTAGCCCCAAACCACTAGCCCCAAGTGATGAGCCCGGGGGCTCCTATACTTAGCTCCCCAGCCTTGTCCTGCCCGGTATCCTCAAAGAAGCCAGGTTCCCACCAGGTGACTGAGGGAAACAGAGTCCCAGAGAGGGGCCGTCTTGGGCCCAGTACCACACAGCATGCCAAAGGCAGAGCTGGGATGCAGTCTCACATCTTATAAACTGCCAAATCCCAAAGGGTGCCCACCCTTTTTGCTAAACTATACTGCCCTCTCCGTCTCCCCACTAAATGTGGACGTCCTGGCGGCCCCGAACAATGAAGTTTCCTCTACCAGGGCTGGGGAGAAAAATGAGATTAGGGCAAGGCAAACTAAGGGCTATTGGAGAGGAGGGAAAGGAACACGGGAAGAATAAAACCGTGAAGCCTAGAGCGGCCTCATTTGCTCTCTTCTGCCTCGCTTGGCCATGGTCCAGAAGGCAGAATGGGTCTTGCATTAGAGAAGAGCTCAAGCTTACTAGGGGTATTTTCAAAAGCAGCCATGCCCAAGACTATTTGAACAGAAGGCAACCAGAGAGGGACCTGGCCCCACATTCATGGGTCCAAGCTCTGTCCTGATACATGCAGCTTTTCTTTGGGGACCGCATGCAGTTTTTTGGGGGGGACTCAGGGGATGTGTGAGTGTGTCCAGGGGATGGTGGGAGGTTTAGGAAGCAGAAGAATTCAACCTAGGAGGAAAAAAAAAAAATGAAAGGAGCTGGAACAAACCAGCTAGGAGAAGGCGACATGAAGATTTTAAAATGTCCCAGGGTCTTTGAAGGGTTAGTTCAGAGGGAAACATGGAGTGGGAGAGAGTTTAATTAAAGACATTTAGAGCCCTTTGTGTGAGTCTGGAGCAGGTGCTCAGAGGACACCTTTAAGAGCATCATTTGCTCCCCTGTTCTTGTGTCTGGGGCTTAGGACAGTGCTGTCTGCAGAGACGGGTGGGGTCGCTGGAGAGAGATGGGGAGAGTCTAGTTCTTAAGCTGAATGTCACATCTCTGACAAATGCACAGAGCGACTGTGTTCACGCTTCCTCGTCCTCCGCATGTTGTGGCCCTTGAGATGACCGGCGTCTGTAAATACCCGTGCCCACAGAACACGCTCGCTCCTGCCTGGCTCCAGACATAGCCCTTCCCCAGGCCCAAACCCTTCCCTTCCATTTCCCCCTTCTCCAGGGGGACACCTTGTCCCATCGTCTTTCTCAGCAGTCTGTGAGCACATAGCAATTGGCCTTCACAAAAGTCCTAAAGACAGAAGGGGTGAGGAATTAAACTTTAGGGATCAAGGAATTAAACCCATCTATGATACCTGAACGTATGTGAGGTGAGGCCTAGGAATTCAGGAAAAGGGATCCAGGTCTTAAGAAGGCCCCAACAAGGGCTAGAGGGATGGAAGGCTGGAGCTGTTGGGGCAGTGGAGGGCTGCAGGCAGAGGTGGGGAGGAAACAGAAGGGAATGAGGGCTGGGGGGAGGGGAACGGGCAGGGGTACACAGGACAGAGAGGAAGAAGAAGCCTGGAATCAGGAAACCCCATTTGTCAGATCAGGGCTGGTTGTTTTATTGCCACTTTGGCAACACTTTATCCTGGGTAAAGAAGATAGCTGGGGCCCCAGGGATGGGGCAGGAGAGCTCGCTGGCCGGGGAGGAGAAGAGGGTGAGCTCTCAGAGTTGTCCCTCCCTAGACCTGGCCTTGTTGTCTGGCTCTTCAGTCCACTCACCAGTCATTCTGCGCCCAGCACCCAGGCGCCAGGTGCTCCCCCCTTCCCTGATGTCCCCATCCCCGGTGGAGTCCCGTTCAGGGGCCTCACCCACCGATGCAAGTCTTCCCGTCCGTATGGAGCACAAACTTGACATGGCAGCCGCACCGGGGACCCTGCTCTGTGTCATCGCACGTGTGCTGGCAGCCACCATTGCCATAGTTGCATGTCACTGTGCAGAGAGGGCGGGAGGCCTGTCAGCTTGCTGCTCCTTGGGCAGCCCGGGGACTGGCCCTCTGCTCTAGTTGCCGCTCCCACATTCCCTCTTCCTCCCGTGTCTTGCTGCCCAGTCCTCATGCACTTCCTCTTTGTCGCTCCTTCTCCCCCACCGCCATCCCAGTTATCTCACATTTACAGTCCCGTTGGTTCTTGGTGAGCTCGAAGCCAGGGCGGCATTCACAGGCAATACCCCCTTTGGGTGTCTCCCGGCAAATGTGAGCGCAGCCGTGGTTCTTATTCATGCAATTCATTCCTTCTAAAAGGGAAGAGGAGGGAGGTGAGTGTTCTGCAACCCTGAATGCCTGGAGGAGGAGGAAGGAAGGGGACAGTGGAGCCTAGGAGAGTGAGGGAATCCACTGAAGCTGCAACAGAGGCAGGAGAGGGACTCCCCCTTGCCAGGCCCCATCCTGCCCAGAGCTGGGTGCTAATGATGGGGCACAGAGCCATTCTGAATGATGTATAGGTATTGATACCCAACCCCCCAAAACCCTGCACAAGCATCCTCTCCTTCAGACAACCAAAAAGCAGTGTCATAGTTACCCAGCACTGTGCTAGGTACTGGTGGATTTAGGAAGGACCCAGGTGTGCCTGGTTGGCTCAGTGGGTTAAGCCTCTGCCTTGGCTTAGGTCATGATCTCAGGGTCCTGGGATCGAGCCCCGCATCAGGCTCTCTGCTCAGCAGGGAGCCTGCTTCCCCCTCTCTCCCTCTGCCTGCCTCTCTGCCTACTTGTGATCTCTGTCAAATCAATAAAATCTTAAAAGAAAAAAAAAAGGAAGGACCCAGAAAAAAAGCAAAACAAAACGAAACAATCCACATCTTTTGGGGCACCTGGCTGGCTCAGTTGGCAGAGCGTGCAACTCTTGATCTCGGGGCTGCAAGTCTGAGCCCCATGTCAGGTGTGGAGATTACTTAAAATCTTTAAAACAAACAAGATTTAAAACAAATCTTTCCTCAAAGAGTGTACAGTCAAACCAGGAAGAAGATAATAATGTGGGTGGGAAGTAATTGGTACTGATAATAACCATAAGATTTTTTTAAAGTAAACTCTGCACCCTCCATGGGGCTCCAGCTCACAACCCAAGACCAAGAGTCACATGTTCCACCAACTGAGCCAGCTGAGTACCCCTCATTACTAGAAGATTTTACTCAACAAATACGTATTAAGCTCCCCACTACATGCAGAGCAGTATATTAGGTTCTGGAGACCAAAAGACAAATTAGACATAGTCCCTGCCCTCAGGGATGTCACAGTCTTGGGGTGGGGGTGGGAGGCAGAGTCACAGAAACAGACAGTACTCCCCTCTTCCTGCCTCACACTCCCTATCCCATCCAATGAATAAGGCATGGGTGAGACCCTCAGATAACAGCCATCCACAATTAGGCAATGTCATGCCTAACTGACCCACTTTGAGTCGGGATACAGAGGACACCCCATAGTAACCTCAACCCCACACTGATCCCAACCCCAAACATATTCCCCCAGATTTTGCTCCAACCCGGTATCTGTCCATGGAGCCCTCAGGATGTGACTGGGTTGAGGGATGAGAGAGGAAGGAGCCAGTGGAATTGAGAGCAGAGGGTGAGTCCTAGTGGGTATTGAGGGAAAACACCCCCGCTGATGGAGAGAAGCCTGGGAGCATAGGACTGGGCCCTCCCGGGTCATGGGCTGACCTTCTGGCCGCTGGATGCAGGTGTGCTGGTTGTCGCTGAGGAAGAAGCCCTCCCGGCAGTGGCACTCATAGCTGCCCATCATGTTGATGCAGCTCTGCTGACATCCACCATTGCCCTCGGCGCACTCGTCCACATCTGTGTAGGATGGGTGGTTGGTGAGGTCATGGGATGGAGGCCAGGCTCCAGAGTGTGCCTCGAGACTTCAGGAGACCCTCCCCACCCCAATGCAGCACCCAGCCGTAGGCCAGAAAGTTCTCACTCACTCATCAGCTAATGTTCCACTGCTCTTGAAGAGGCCGCCCTCTGAGGGCAGAGCTGGGGAGCTAAGCCAGTGGAGAGGGGAGAGTTGAACCTGTCTCTCCTGTGTGAGGATTTGCTCCCTTTCCCTCACTTGTTGGAATTGGGTGTGAGCACAGAGAAAATCAGGAAAGGAGCCAGGGCAAGAGGGACAGGGATGGCAGTAAGGATGGGGATTGGTTAGGGAGAGGAGCTGGGGCATGGCTGCAGCCAGGGAATGAGAGAACTTGGAACTGGCTCCAAGAGCAGGGAGAGCTGTGGCCATGGCGCTAGGTCTGGGGGCCAACATGGGTAGAGGCAGCAAGCCTCAACTCCTTGCAGGGCAGGGACCATTTCTGTGGACAGGCCACGGCCCCGTCCTTCCTCCCCTCCCCCCAAGCCTGGGCTTGCTGCCATAGTCCCTAGCCTTTCTCCTATTTTGGTTTAACAAAACAGTCTGGTGGCTTGGCGGGGAGGGGTGGGAGGAGAGCTGCCAGGCCACACCCTAATTACCACCCCAAATCACCACCCCCAAGTCCCAGAGCCAAGCTCATTCTGGGGTTCCCACTTCAATGCCTTGACTCCATCTCTGTGCTACCTACTGCCCTCCCCAGTCCCTAGCCCTTCTTGGTTTTTCTTGGCCCAGCAGGCATCCTGGAGATTGGTCTCCAAACAGAATAGCTGGAATTTGAGCTCCTGAGGCCCTATTCTGCCCCTCTCTTCCCATCCTCCCTGCTGAGCCCTGAAACCCTGTCCTTTCCCCCTTCTGGCCAAGGGCAGAAGGGTACAGATCCAGCAGGCTCCTGCTTGAGAGAGGGACCTGGTGTAAAGTCAAGGAGGTATACTTTCCTTTGCCTTATTCCTGTCCCTTCCCCCTCTCTCACTATAGCCCCGACTTCTCCCCATTCTTGTCTTCCCACTGTCCCATCCTACAGTCCATCCTTCTGTTTGCTCCCTTCTATGCAACCTTGTGATTTTGCTGCTCTTTAGCCAAGTTCCTTCCTCTAATTCTCAGTGGAGAAACTGAGGCCCAGGGCATGGATGACTTAGGGTTCCCCTACAAGCCAGAGGTTGAGTTGAGACTTTGAACCCCAAGGGTAGGGTTAGGTAGAACTTTGTTCCCCCTTGCTCTTTCCATACCTACTCATTCTCTTAACTTCTGGTTAGTTCTCCCCAAAACACAGGGAAATAAGACTTGGTGAGAATCAGGGGCTTAGAAAGGTGAAAGGCAATCAAAGAACTTCTCGTCCGGTGGGAAACTCATCACTTTTCTTTCTGAGGGAGTCCCTAAAGAGGCCCTCTTAGGTGACTGGGCAGAAAAGAAGTGAGATCCTTCCCTAGTAGAAGAGATGGCCAGGGCTGCAGGGATGGGCCCAGCAGGGCTCAGGCTGTAGAGGCCCGGGTTGGGAATAGAAACCAAAAAGCCTGGCCCAAAAATGGGACATGACTGGGTCTAGAGGCAGCTCTGCAGGGAGCTAGACTAGACTAAGGGAGCCTCAGATAATTCATCAGTTTGGTCAGGTGGGGAAGAAGCCTAGCCACTTTTCTGGGCATCATTCCTCCTCTCTTCCTTTCCTGGTCTTCTAGTCCTTTAGTCTCCTACTTTTGTTCTGACACCAGGAAGAATGTGGAAAAGGACCCCTAGCTTCACGTTTCAAATCCTTTTCTGCTATGGGCTTCAGTGTTGCTACTTGCGGAAGAATCTGACATGGTCCCAGTAATTTTCCAAACTGATAACAGACCAAAGTTGAGGGGAGTTCCTTAGAAATTCTCCTATCTCTGACCCAGCTCCTGGGTCAAGGATCAGGTCAGATGGAGGCCTAAGAAGTAAGGAGAGGAGGGCCTGGAGATTACAGGAGGAGCTGGAAGAAAACCAGTCTTTAAGGGTCAGAGGCTCCTCAGGACCCATGGGGGGCATCGTTGTCATCATCAAACATTCCTCCCATTTACTGAAGTGTGGAGCCAAATCACCTTCCCGCCATGCTCTGCTCCCTACATCTCCACCCACTATTGTCATCTTCCGGCCCTTGCCCTGGGAGCACTTTCTAGCAGCATCTTCTCTGATGTTTTTCATCCAGCCCCAGGATTATTTCATCCTCAGCACCCGGTCTCAAAGGGGAGGCTGACCTTGTTTTCTATTTTGCAAGAATGCAGCTTTTTGATCACCTTCCTCTCCTTGCCTGGGCAGTGGGAAATGCCAGAAACAGCTCCTTCCCCACAAGACAGCCCCTCTGCCCACACCTCCTCTCCCTCCCCTTGGCTCACCCAGACAGTTGTGTCCGTCATGTGCCAGGTGGAATCCGTCATAGCAGGTGCATCGGTAATTGCCAGGGATGTTGACACAGTCGTGCACACAACCGGCATTATCTTCTCGTTCACACTCATCCACATCTGTGGGCAAAGAGGATCTGAGGCAGCTGGCCCACCAGCATGCCCCGCACTGTCCACCCCTAGGCTCAGCCCTGTGGTGGTTTGAATATATGTATGTATGTGTATATATCGTCTCTATGTATGTGTGTTTTCATAGTTACTTTCATAGCCTACAAACCATTTTGCATTTTGCTGTTTTCATCTCACCTTAAGTCATAGGGGCACCTGGGTAGCTCAGCTGGTTAAATGTCATGATCTTGATTTGGCTCAGGTCATGATCTGAGGGTTGTGAGTTCGAGCCCTGCATCAGGCTCCACACTGTGCACGCAGCCTGCTTAGGATTCTCTCTCCCCCACCTCCCTCTGCTCCTCCCCATCCCCTCTCTATCAATCAATCAATCAATCTAAATAAACTTAAGTCATAAACATTTTCATATGTCTCCACCCAGTCTTTCTAATCACCATGGTACGTGGTTGCAGAATATTTCGTTGTGTTGTTATATCATAATTTATTCATCCTTCCGCTATTGTCGGATTTCTTCCATTTATTTTACTATCATAAATAATGCAAAAAGAACATCTTCTCTAGTATTATTTTGTTTCTTTGAATTTCCCTTGAATAAGTCCCTGAGAATAAAATTTCTGGGTCAAAGGGTATAATTAACCTTTTAAGATTCCTGCTAGATAACAAAATCACTTTTCAATTTATAATGTCACCAAGAATTAATGAGTGTACCCTGTCTGCTACACTCTTACCAGCACTGAAGGTCATACATTGAAAATAACATCCGAAGCGTGCTTTAATTTGCATGGCTTTAATTATGAGAGGGGAAGAATGTGCTTGTTTATGGTATGAATTCCCCCTGGGGTAAACTGTCTGTTCTCATCCTATGTGGGAACGGTAGAAGAGTCTAGAGATGGAGGTTCCAATGTCAGGGTACCTCAGGCCTCAGTCCCATGATTCTGACTCCCCACCCAGCCAAGCTGGGAGGCTGTGAACTCTTCCCACCAGAGCCTCGGCTAGCCTCAATGGTGCCCTCTCTGGGGTAAGAACAGCCACCCCTCCCAACCCCCTTCCTGGAGCCTGCAGGGACTGTAGGCCTTACTGTCATGCACAGTATGGCCAAGGGCAGTGGCACTGACCTCCCATCCCGGGCGCCCTCCCAGCCTCACCTTTGCAGTGTTTACCATCCCCTGTGTAGCCAGACTTGCAGATGCACTTGTACGACCGTGGGGTGTTCTGGCAGATGGCATCGATGTGGCAGTTGTCGGTCCCCTCCACGCATTCATCCACATCTGGCAGGGGCAGAGGGGACACGTGAGACCCTCTGTCAGTGCATCCCAAGGGCTGTCTTGAAGGTGGTTCCTCAAGGGCAAAAGCCCTTCTCCTCTAAAATATGGATCGTGACCCCTCCCCCTCCAAGAGCAGGCTTCACACTCTTTGGATTTCAGAGTGGGTCGACTCTGTAATTTCAGGAATTCAAAAAGCATCCCCACTCTCCTCAGAAATACTTAATCCATAATGACAGCTAAAATTCCGTCATTTGAAATATTCCCCTTTGATTTAAAAACAAACAAAACCCCTTGGACTGGGTAGCACACTTACCTTGATTCAAAATATTCAACTTAGTGTGAATTAGTTTACCTCTCTTGGAAGCAGAATTGGGGGGCAGGAGAGAGGCATGGGGACAGTGGCCTCTGGGAAAGTGGCAGGGTCCCGCGGCCCTCGGTGATGGAAGGAAGAAAGGGAGAAGACGGGGCACCCAAGAAATCCTCTTCAGCCTGACAGTTCTGCTTGAGACCAGGCCTGCTCCCACTTGCCCACCACGGCGCCAAGAATCTTTAGAGGAAAGAAGTTCCATCCTGAAGATTTCCCTCAGCCCTTGTGCTGTCAACAGCAGAGGACCAGGACTGGGCGGGGGCTGGTACCAGCAACCTGAAGCCTGATCAGTGGGGCTCTTGTGACTCTCTGGCTGACTCTGGCTTGTCCAGCCCACCACCCTGAACTCTCCCATCTAACCCAAGGTACTCCTCTCACTCCTGGCTCACTCGGACACACGGTGCTCCTCACGGAGCTCTGCTGAAGGAAGAGGCCACCCAAGATCTAGCAAAAAGAGGATGGTTCTGAAAGGACAGAGCCAAAAAAAACCATTTATCCTCTTTGGGCAAAAGAATCCAACTTTGGGGGCAATGTTACGGTGCAGATAAAGGAGAGCGAAAATATGGCAACAGGTTGCATTCAGTTGAGAACGTTTTACGGGGTGTGTTTGCAAAAGGTACTGTGCTGAAGACTGTTGACTTGGCCCAGCCAGAAGGAGAGACAAGGAACATGAGGTAGGGTGTGATTGAGTGCCACAGACACAGTAGACATAAGGTGAGGGGTTCCTCAACCCTGGTGACATGTCGTCAGAGTTAACTCCCCTAGGAGATGCCCAGCACCATCACCAGAGGTCCTGGTCAACGAGCCCACAGTATTTTTTGAACACTCCCTGGGTGAGTCCAACAGGCAGCCAGGCTGGAGAATCTCTGTGAAAAGGAAGATGAAAGGAGGAAGGGACTACTTCTAACTGTGAACTGGGGAACCCAAGCATAGAGGTAGCCACCTGCAAATAAAGAAATGGGATTTGCAGTCAAGACAGCAGACTGTAACCTTGCCTGGCTTTTGTTAAAATGCCGATTCTCAGGCCGCAATCGCCAAACTATGGGATCCAAATCCTTAAGGTGCCTGATATATTTTAACAGAATGTGAATGAATGAGTGGGCCAGTAATCCCTCCAATTTATAGATACCGGGGAGTCCTAGCTTGAAACAGTTAGTTGTCCTCTGATTTTAGGTTTCAAGGAATGCTTCAGGGGCAGGACTGAGGCTTCCTGGGGCAAAGAAGAGAACTGAAATTTGGAAAAGTGCCTCCAAATATCCTGCCTCCAGTCTTCTGAGCTTCCATTCAGCTCTGCACTCTGCCTTACAACTCTGACTCCTTTGCAGCCATCCGCCACGGCCCGTGATTCCAACTGCTGTAACTCACACTTACTCTCAGACTCCTTCAGGTTCTGCAGTCATGGTGTCTGCCTGCTGTGGCCCACTCTGGGAACTCATCCCCAGATGAAAGCACAGAGAAGAGGGGCATGAAGACTAGTTCATAAGAGAGGGCAAGAAGGACAGTAGATAGCGAGAGGCGGTGTGGAGTATCAGTAGGTGCAACCGATGGAGAAAATACATGGGAAGAAGAAATGCACTCTCATAAAAAGATCCTAAGCTCTGAAAAGAGTAAGTCCCAGATTCAAATCCAGCTCTGTCTTTCTAGGGAGGCTTTTCTGATTCTCTTCTTTCTTCCTCTTTAAAATGGGAATAATACCTTCTCGTGAGAGTCTGTGAGCAGTTGAGATAATCTGTGTAACGTTTTATATATATATATATACACACACATATATGTATATATATATAAAATATTGTATAATAATATAACATATATATTATATGTATATATAATATATATATATAAAGTAAAAAATCTGGGAAATAGGTTCCTGATGTCCAGAAGCTGGTTCAGACAACAGATGCTCTAGGACTGTGCTGTCTATGGTGGTAGCCATGAAGCACTAATGGCTGTTTTAAATTTAAGTTAGTTTGAAATTCAGTTGCTCAGTTGCACTAGGCCAAATGCTCAATGGCCATTTGTGGCTAATGGCCACCACCAATGGACAGCACTTCCAACATCACAGGAAGTTCTACTGGAGTGCTGTTCTCGGAGCTAAGAAGAGATACTCCTAGGCTGGGGCGGACCAAAAAAACCCCTGAGCAGCAGGATTCAAGTTGGGTTTTGGAGACTGGATCGGCATTTGACCGTCAGGAGAGGAAAGAGGAAATTTCAAGTGTGGTTAAACACGTGAAGAAAGACAAGGTACTCAGAGACCCAAGTCCACATTCTCTGTCCCCACATTTAAACACGCCCTTGTGAGTCTTCCAGGTAGCCTGGGACATTGGACAATCCCAGTGACAATTGATCATTCTGTCCATCCTCCTTTGAGTCTTCTTCTGTCTCTTACCATCCCTTCCCTAGCAGTCAGCAGGGCAATTTGGAAACCCATCGGGAAGCCCTTCCTCTAGGGACATCTCAGAAGGACATGCCTGTCTCTGAATCATTGGGTGCTTCGCTGGAATCTGCAGGAGGCTATCTGGGCTCTCCATTCTTTGCTTTGCCTCTAGTTCTGTGCTTACTAGGACCAGAGTGCCCCTGAGGCTGGTGGCAGCAAACCCAGGCTTCCCAGCAGATCCTGTAACCCCTTCTAGCAGCTGGGCTCTTCCCACCATCCTACCCACTCCCTCATCGCCCTGCTCCCGCTGCTTATCCCTCTCCAGCCAAGAGTTTCTGCCCTGGAAGACTATCTCTTACTTCCTTCCTCTACAACGTCCAAGCATTCTCCCCCTGGCCAAGCATTCACATCCATCACGCTCTTCACATTTGAAATGCAGTTATCTCATCTCTAGCCACACTGTTCCTGGCTTCCCAAATCTGGCTCAAAATTGTCTACCCCAAAGCTCTTCCTGCTAAACCCCATTCCTAAAGAGTTCCTGATCCCAGGGGACTCCGCCTGCCTCCGCTCATTTGCCGCCATTGCTGAGTGGCTCTGCTGATGCTGTCAAGCCCTCTTGTGTGGCATGTTCTGCTTCCCTCACTTGGCTGGTCACTCACTGAGGACAGGACCTTTCAACCATTCGAATGGAATCTTTTGAAGCAGTTGATGCCCATAGCAGAGCTCTGAGGGGTGCCTGGGTGGTTCAGTGGGTTGGGTGCCCGGCTCTTGGTTTCGGCTTGGGTCGTGATCTCAGGGTTGTGAGATCGAGCCCTGGGCCTGCTTGAATTCTCTCTCTCGCTCTTCCTCTGCATCCCACGTCCCACCAAAACAAACAAACAAAGTGGAGCTCTGAAATAGGGGCCCCCATTATATCCAGTGTCTCCTCCTCCTGCCAGTTCATCCTTTCGGAGCTCACTTCCGCCACATCTGCCCACCCACGATTTATCCGTGCAGGGATCACTTCAATACCCATAGGCATGGTCTCTTCATAGCTCTCACTAAGCAAGTATTTACTACTGGCCTGACAAGTTGACGCTAGTTGGGCATGAATTGATCTAGACCCGCGGTTCTCAACCCTGGCTGCACACTGGGATTCCCTGGGAGCCTTTTTTTAAAAAAAAGTGGCTGTCTAGGCAGTCTCCTACACCAGCTGCATCGGGATCTCCAGAGTGTGACAGGGCTGGATGGCTGGCTGCCTTCCTTGCCCCTCTCAGATAAAGTGAAGAGACCATTTGCAGGAGCCAGGAAGACACTGGAGACAGCAAGAGGACAAGAGTATTTGAGGGGCGCCTGGGTGGCTCAGTGGGTTAAAGCCTCTGCCTTCGGCTCAGGTCATGATCCCAGGGTCCTGGGATTGAGTGCCGCATAGAGCTCTCTGCTTGGCAGGGAGCCTGCTTTCTCCTTTCTCTCTGCCTACTTGTTATCTCTGTCTGTCAAATAAATAAATAAAATCTTAAAAAAAAAAAGTGTTTGAGAAAAGGGGTTCTGGAGTGCTACCGTGCTAGTGTAAATATAATGGCACCTCCTCCTGGGGCTGCTGGGGCTGCCGGGGCTGCCGTGTGCATCAGATGGGTTAATACTTGTCAAGTACTTAGCACAGCAGTGCAGGCATACAGTAAGTGCTCAGAAAGGTTGGCTATTTTTAGTCCTTCTCTCCCACTTTCTCCCCAGTATCGTTTCTGAACCCCTCTCTGCTCCTCCTCCCTCGTACCAGAGCGCCATCTTTGTGGGGACAGGCAGCACCGGGACAGCGTGTGATGGCACAGGAAGTGTTAGGGGGACATATCCCTGAAGGTACCTTCTCCAGTGCCTGTTCTACCCGTGCTGGGAACTGCCCAAAGAGGAGGGCAAAGTGGGTGAGGGGCCAGTTGGGAATCAAAAAGCCGCCCTCCATGATCCCTTGGGAGGGCTCTCCTTTTGTGCCTTTGTGCCCACCTCAGGTATGGGGCTGGATCAAAAGCTGAAGTGGGGGAGAGTGGCGGCTGCAGAGATACCCCAGATGAGTCAAGACCTCCCTGCCTCTCCTGGCATGAATGCCTGGGTCTGCAGCTGCAGCAGCTTTCCCAGCGCGAGCTGACATTTCTGCTGGATTTGCTTCCTCGCCTAGCAGAGCGCTCCATATGCCCTGCTCAACGTAGGGAGGGAGCGTGGGATGTGGGGGTGGCATTGAGAGGGTGAGAGGGTAGACCTGACCCTAAAGGGTGGATTGTTTGACCAGGA